TAATCTCTCTTTATGTTTATTTTGTTGTTCGAGCTGCCACTGTTGCAGGTTTTCTTGCAACTGCTGTTGTCTCTCTTCTTGTTTGTTTTCTTGTTTATTTTCTCGTTCTTCTTGTTTATTTTGCTGCTCTTGTATTGCTGCCATCAAGTCTGCTAAGCTGTAGATTGATTTGCCGCTTCTCGTTTCCATTTCTTTTTTTTTCGTTCCACTTCTGACACCAATTTGTTACGTCACCGTTCGTTAGTTAATTTTCCATAAATTCGTTCCGACGAAACTTCAGCGACACAAGTCCTTTCTTAAATAAAACTGGTTTATTCTTTCGAATACAACTTTACGATACACTTAATGTCAACAGTCGCTCTGTAACAAACGCTATAATTCTCAACGAACTTCTCACGTGCTTAACAATATTCTCTCTGACTGCAGTTCAATTACTCATTACCTTGTTGTCCCGTCACGTTGTGAACGTCTTATATATACCAGCCTACCTCCAATCTAGCAGTCTCCCGATAATTCATGAAGGTTTGAGAAGGACATGGCGTGATACTAGTCACGTGACCTCGCTGACGCAACAATATTAAGGTTAGATTAGGCAAGACACTAAAAACGAACAATCACAGTAATAATTCTACACGAGGTATGATCTCGAGCAGCTCGTGCTTTACGTCATTGAATACGGAAACTTGAGCTACGCGTTTTGCTGAGTGATTTACAACTTGTATGGTAGGATTATTAGTTAGACAAAGTTCAAAGGGCAATAATACAATAAAATATTGTATAAAAAGATGTATATTGTTACACACCTTAAGCTATTTAGGATAAACAAATGTAGGTTTCTGTTACAATCAGCAGTCATTCTAGAAAGACAAAAAGGGTAGTTTAGATTTATTTCCTATTTTTAAATTTTATGGTGGTTACGAGGGCGGTCATATCGACGAAGTCCATATAGAGTTAGGGTAGGGAAAATAAAAGATAAAATATATAGTTTAACTGCAAAAACTTTTGATATTTATTTAGACGGTTTTAGAGGTTACATGAGCGAAATTGAAAATTTTAAGATGAAGAAAAGTATTTTTAATGTTCACATGAAAATCACTTTACACTTGGAGCAGTCAACAATCTGACTCTAATTATTCAGGGACAAACCTTTAGTAAAATATGATTCAAGGTTTGTGGCACTCCAAGGGGCTGAAGCTGTAGTAATACTTGATGTGTCTAGTGTTGCATTAGTTTAGGGAAGTCATGATTGCATAAATCCACTGAGAGTTTGGGACTAAAAATGTCCTTTCTTCTTCATGTTGGTATGGAATTGGTGTTTAAAGTTATCTCATTAAGGTTTATTTCATTTAAGCATATTACGTCTTTCACATACATACACTCGTTTCTCAAGAAAAAGTTTCGTTTTCTTTGAATAATTTTTGTTTTCTCGCCTTGATCTTCTCATATATGTCACACTTTTAGACGATACTAAACAGTTTATACCAGTAAGCTTCTATTTCTAGTCATTTATTTTGACTGTAGTAGGTAACAGTTTGTACTGTCAGAAAGTGTGATAGAGACATTGAGGCAATATAAAACATCGCTTAATGGAGAAAAATTAAACTTTTTCTTGATAAATAACTGTAGTATATGAGTTATATTAATATATGTATTGTTACGACAGCGGAAGTTACGTGACGCTGGTAACAGGTAATGAGTATCTCGAACGTTCCTGAAGGCTCGAGTGTTTGCCAGACGCCCTCTATTTTGTATATATAAGACCGGCGAGAAGTGACGGTATAAATAATTGAATTGCAGACAGGCAGAGATAGAGACGGACAATTGAGTCAAGCGCGGTAGTAAGTAAAGTACGTGAATCGTTCGTTGTGAATTATAGTGTGTGCTTAAGTTAAACTAACTGTGGAAATTCCGTGTATTGCAAAGTTGTATTGAGGAAGAATAAACTAGTTTTATTTAAGAAAGGACTTGTATCGCTGAAGTTCCTCGGGAAGAATTTTTACGGGAAATTAACAAACGACCAGAGACGTAACAGTAACCTTTGAAGTGTTAGAAAAAATACTTAAATTCACTTATTTTACGAACAACTCACCATGCTGGACAAAAATATTTGAAACTTGAAGCGTTCACTTAGTGATAATGAACAATATTCGATGCACTCCAACAAAGTATCAGTAAATTGGCTTTCTTTGTACTTGTTTGTTTGAAGTTAAGCACAAAGCTATACAAAGGCTATCTGTGCTCTGCCCATCATGGGTATCGGAAGCCGGTTTCTAGCATTGTAAGTCCTCAGATATACCACTGTGCCACTGGGGGCTTACTTGTGTTATGTTAGACTAAAAGTATAGAACAATTTCAATGAAAAATAATTACAACCAAGAGAAATAACACTTAAAACCCATCGCCTCAGTGTTCTCCATGTTGACTTCACGGCTTTATCATTCATGACTAATTTGCTACTCTGGTTCTGTCACAGACACAGAATGAAATCGATGCGAGTTCAAGTTTTCAAATTCGAGTCATGTCACTTCTAATTAAAGAAGCAACTTTGGAAGAATCGTTCGTTTGAACATTTGTGCAGTTCTGAATTTTTTAGTTTTTTAGCGATAACGGGACGCTAACCATGAAACCTCAGATACACAGTCCAGCACTTTAACTACTGAGCTGTGATAAACCCAAGCTTAAAGGGACAAGAAAGTGTTGTTGTTAAGCGCAAAGCTACACGAAGGGCTATCTGTGCTCTGCCCACCACAGGTATCGAAACCTGGTTTTTATCAGTATAAGTCCGCAGACATACCGCTGTGCCACTGGGGGGCAAGTGACAAGCAATTAAACCAATGGTTCGAATTTGGTAATCATTTAAATTTTTAGCACGTGAAGCTAGACGTCAAAT